CGAGGACAGGCAGCGTCCACGCGGACTTTGCTCCCGAGTCCCGGGCGCGCGTGGTCCCGGTGGAGACGCGCGTCGGGGCGGCCCCGGGACGGCCCCTCCGCCTCCCAGTACCAGTGCAAGTATTACTAACAGAAAGACCGCAGTCTTCCCTCCGGATCCGCGTTGTTCTCGCCAGCGCCCTCCCGTGAGGTTGGGTGACGAGATGCCGCGTGGACTGCCTCGACTGTGACCAAGGGGGACCTCGTTAGTCCGCGTACAGCTCCCCCGCCTCCCTCTAGAGTAAGATTCTCGTCCTCCCACAAGAGAAAGCTCCCGGCGGAGTCTCCGTGAATATTTTTGTGATGAAAAATATATGAAGCTTCCCCTCCCTCCCTGTTTTTAGTACTAACATGTAAAATGTTCAGGCTTTTTTGTGAAATACCTTATATTTTTTAAGAAAAAGGTTTCTATCATGTCCTGTCTTCTTGTGTGCGAATTGCTTTTGTTGACTCTCATTTATTTTCTCTCTCTGTTGCCTCCTAACTTTGCCCTTCTCGAAACTGCTGGAGTTCTTCCCACTGCTGATACATTTCATCAACCTGTATAAACACTCTACAGACCAGAAGATCTCCCCTAATGTAAATAATAAATATTTATGAAGTAGTTATTTTTTAAAAATTTTTATCGTGTTTAATTCTGGCTTTCTCTGAAATCCACTGTGATTTCAGCCATGTCTGTAATTACTGCTGTACATAAGCAAAGAAGGCTGGAAAGAAAAGAGCCACACGTAGTTCAAAGTTACCTGCCTAGAGCTGAACCCACACGGTGCCCAAAGCCCGGGGAAAAGGACCCTAGCAGTTGGAAGGAAAACAAGGCAATTTAAATCTGTGGTTTATGATTTGAAATTGTTTTGTTAGCTCTTTTGCTTCTGTAAATTTCTGTGACTTTTCTTTTGTTTCAAAGGACATGTGGATTCCCCGAAAGTAAAAAAAAGAAAAAGAAATATACTGTAGCATTTTGTGTTTATATTGTTTTATTTCTGCAAATCTGTTCATTGATATTGTGGTTTAAGGCTGAAATGAAGTATATTATGAAATTTTTTAGAAGAAAACTCATCAAATTTCAGGGTATCACAAAACTTTATTATATTACTATACTGCCCACTATTTATTATATGTTATAGATATCTGAGAGATAAACCAAATATTTTATTTTTAATGTAAAACATCAAATTTAATTTTATTAGCATATTTTAGCAACTTTGGAATAAATATGGACTTCTACTTGATTTTGAAGTAATCCCAATTTGGGCCAGTGTAATGGATATCTTGAATGCTAGAATATGGGCTTTAAACCTAATACAAATATATTAATAGAAATTGTGATTTTTTTAATGCCAAGTAAATTGATATTAGTGTATGAGTTAATCATATTTTAAAACATATTATGTGGTTAGAGAAATGAGGTGTTCTGCCATGAATGTTAAATTGCAAATCAGTGGAAATGGAGTCAACCTTTTAAGAGTGCAGTATTTCATTGCCCTCCTTGTTCTAGAAGCCAAAATTTTTCTGTCCCTACAAAAAAAAAAACAAAGCATCTATGTTGAGATACGTGTTTTTTGTTTTATTCATTTGAGATCATCCTAAATACTTTATACAATATTTTCACATGCACAAATCTACCCATTAGTGCTTTTTGGAGAGGAACGGGGTGGGGGTGAGGAAGTGCAAAATAAAGATTATTGGCTATTTCATAGTTTGCTTTTCCATTTTCTTTATTGAGGATTTAGTCCCTTGAGGCATGGTCAGTGGGTCTGGCGTGGCCACGTCCAAGTGATCCGGTCACGCTCCTGAAATGAGAGCGGAGGAGCCTGTGTGTAACTTTCCCCCAGTCCTGCTGTGGAGAGGCTCGCCTCCCACAGCATTGAAGGAATTTCAATCAGTTTGGTGTCCCTTGCTATTTCATGGTTGCTTTCCTAAATCCAGTTCATGATTTTATAAATGGCCTCTGCAATAATAAAACCAAAGAATCATTTTCAGGGGGCTGGATAGCTCAAGGGATTAGTAATAGAATACAGAGCCTTTCACCTCGAGGTCAGTGAGTTGAATCCAGTCCAGGTCACCAGAGACCCAGAGTCGCTCCCATCTCCTGCCTGTTCAGTGGCCTGTGTGACATGGACTGGTGGTCTCGGTTGCTCCTGGACGGCTGTCCGTCCACCAACCAAAGGAGGTTCAAGAAACGGCAAAAAGAAATGTGGATTAGAAAATAAAACACCTGTCTTCCAAAGCCAAGTTAGGAAGCTGGGCAGAGGCATTCTCCATAAAGCAACACCAAAGGAAAAGGAGTAACTGCAGATGCTGCAGACGTCCACAGGGCACGGAGGTTAATGCACTTTCCTTGATGAATTCGAACAAAACAGGGAAAGGAAAAACCTGTACTGGGCGGGAGGGGGAGGGGTGCATTGGAAGAGATGATGGTTTAATTGGGAAAAACCTGAGGGGACCCGCGCCACAAGAAGAGGGTGGGTTTGACTTTTGACAGAGTAGGAAGTCACAGAGCAGCAGGAATTTGAGGAACTACAGGGACTGAGAAAATACACAGCCAAACACGGAGCATAGTCTCCCTTGGGAGCATGAGAAGTCTCCCAGGTGCCAGCAAACTCCTGGACCATTTTCCCAGATGCCAGCGCTATCACTGACCTGAGCGTCGATGCTCTATGAAAAAAGTACTCAGGAAAAAAAAAAAAAAAGAATTTGTCCTGGCTAGTGATTGACCTGGAGGAGGTGGTATTTAAGAGACAGAAAAGGCAACACCCCTCCCTCCCAGGGCGCAGACACTCCTCTGGTGAGAGAATCCGCCGTCAGAGCCCCGAGTAGCTGGCAAAGCGCTTTTTCTATGACTGACACGCTGTTTCTCTTCTGAAGGTGTCTGCAGTTAAGCATAGGGAGGATCTTTATCGTCCAGCTGATTTGTGGCTCCGAATGTCCTGCAGGAAATCAGAGGGCATCAGACCATTCTGGCTCTGTCGGGCTTTTTTCAAAGATAAAATATGGTGCCTTCCTCTCCCATATCCCCTAAACCGCCTTTGTTCTCCCTTCAATAGGACGATTCAACAAAGGCCGAGTAACCAAATTAAAGTATAAAGTGAACACCGAGATATGGAAACCTAGCCCAGAAGAATGCTAATGAGTGAAGTTCACTGGAGGCGCACGGGCTAAGTGTTCCATGCAAAGAGTTCGCGGGCCAATCTCTTCAGATCATAGCAGCTTTCTTTAGAAGTTCAAGTCTAGAAGTCGACAGTCACCCCGACTGGAGAACAAAACAGGCGACGTTCTGAGTAACGTCTCTACCCACAGTCGTATCAGTCGTTCTCTTAGGAAACCACTTCTTTGACCATCTTGCATTAGTTGTGGCCTAAAGGGTATAAAGTAACTGCTCATCCCCATGTCCAGGCCAGTAACGGATGACACCGGCAATCAGATATTTCGGGGGGCGGCTGGCCCTTTCCTCCCTGCTATCACGGAAACGTAACGTTTAGTTTACATGCGACTTACTAAAGCAACTGCCGCTTACCTTTTTCATGGACAGTTAGCTCTCAGTTTGGTTTATAGAAGAGTTTTACGAACACCGTCGTTCGTTCACTGGACATAGGCGGCACACCCTTCACGGAAACAGCAAAAGCGTGTTGGACCCGAGTTCCACTTTGCTACCGTCTGGCCGCCACGGGTACGCACTCAGCCTCATGGCATTCTGTGCATTCACGTGCATTTCATCAGCTCCTAAGTACCTTCTAGATGTGTTCGTTCTCCGTTTTTCTCTACATAATCTATCCGTCCACCTTAGACTGCGGCGGGGTTTTTTTCTTGTTTACCATTTGAGTTCTCAGTGAGTTGGTTTTTTTTTAGTTGAAGTATAGTTGAGCCACAATGTTGAGTTAGTTTCCGGGGTACGGCATGGTGATTCAGTTCTACGTGGATGTGCTCTTCTTCGGATTCTTCTTCCTGATAGGTCATTGCACGATATTGACTATAGCCCCCTGTGCGCCCCAGTAGGACCTCGTCAGACTGCAGTGGCTTGCAATGCTGATAGAGCTTTGCCCTTCGAAATGCTTATATTTATAACAAAATATTTAAAAGCTTAGCCAAGGATTACATGAACTCTCCCGGGAACTTGCAGGGTGGACAATACGTGAGAAATGCAGATACCTTTACTTACGGACACCACACGATGTAACTGGGTCGAGCCTTCAGAACAGAACATATTTTAGGCACCCGGCCCTCAGCAATGACTTCCTACCACATCTTGGGGACCTAGTCAGTATTTTGTTAACCTCTGGGAGACTTCTGGGGGCTCTTTGGGCTTGGCTTTGGTTTTGATTAGTGAAATGTTTAGAACAGGACTATTTTAAGCAAACCAAGGCAAACCTGAAGAGTGTCATTCTTACTGTCCTTAATGAGTTAACCTTTGCCAAGCTGAAGAGTCTAAAGGAAAACGTGCGTGCGGCTCTACACCTCCTTTAGACCTGTGGTAAAAGGAGTCACCAGAGGGAGTTCATGTCTGCCAAAAAAAGCATCAGATTATGTTCTGATGACTTCTCTTGTACCGTTTGGAATGTAGACTAAACCTTTTGGGCTAGCTTTTAGAAAGTAAATTCTCTAGAAGGCGGTTTCCAAATGAGCAATTCCTCATCTTCCTTTCCTTCTGTTAATTTTGACGTTGCTATTTACAACAGTCACAAAGACGAAGCAGAGGCCCAGAACGTTCTGCACTTAGCCACATCCACACACTTCTCAAAAAGCCGTTAGGCATCTCCCCAGGCTACAAGGATGCCAAGGAGAACTGAGACACATCCCAGTGTCTCAGAGAGAGGCCCCAGGTCATCACATTAGGACCATGGCTCATATTTCAAAAACGGACCCAAGCCAAAAGCACAAGGCAGATGAGCAGTTCTAACAACTGTCGGACCACTTTTCAATTTTCTATCAATGAGACCAAG